TCATAATCAGTACACAATCAGGAAGAATCTTGAACAGCTTACAGCAAATGCAAAGTATCTGACAATGAAGATGAACAATTTCACAGAAAGACTATTACTTAAGGAAAATATAAAAAGTTTTATCATGAAATTGTATTAACTTGACAAACAAATAAAAATATATGAACAAAATAGTTATTTGATTACTTTAAGACTTGAAATGTTCGAAGATACAACCCATGTACTATTCCTCTGCATAATAGTCAATTATTTAGGGCCTGATATTGACCTAAATGGATTTTCTGATATTCTATTTTTACATCGTCTCTGGCAGTAGTGTTCTAAACCTTCTATGTCTAATGGTCTGAAATCATGTTTACTACGTTGTAAAGATCAGCAAATAATACCTACAACATAATTAGGACTCATATGTCCTTGATGATGAACAAAAATTCATAAGCAGTCCTCTGAAATAAACATTACACTTAGACTTTCTAAATTCTCTTAATTTATATCTTCATGGAGAACCGCCACGGATTCTACCACCATCGTCCCTTCTACTTCGTAAGTTGATTGGTAAAAAACAAAATCCTTGTTATTGACTTTTCAAAAAAGTTTTTTTCTTTTAAAGATATAATACAATATTTTTTCTGTTGCTCACCAAAGTGCTAGGAAGTAGGTATAAAATGAAGTCAAGGTTCAGAGGCAGAGACCTGAGGTCAACACTTAGATCTGCCTTTTACCAGCTTCATGAACTTGGGAGAATTAATAACCTCCTAACATGCAATTTTTAAAAAAATGTGACTAACAATTCTTACTTTGCAGTGATATTGTGATTAAGATAATGTATCATGGAAGCTACAATTGTGTCTGACACATGGTAGGTGATTAAAAAATGGATTTTCTTTTCAGTAGTATTAATAGATATTTTTTCAAGAAGTGTTGAATGAGTTTTGTTCCACGTGACAATGACTGGTAGAGCTTCCTAGGACCCTGCATTTGAAACAACATTGACACTACATCTAGACTTAGAGATTTGTGTGGGTTCATGATGGGGTGTGGCAACGTGCATGCGCTCTATATTTTGTTTTTGTTGAAAAAGTTGTTTGACTTGCTCAAGGTGATACAGCACCATCGCAATCAGAATTAAGTTCTCTTGGCTTTGGGTTTTGTAGACATTCAGGATGAAATGATATTTTTGTTGAGACAGACTTTAGCAATGTAACTGGAAATGATGGTCATGTATGAGGTAATTGATATTGTGCATCTGAAGACAGGTGAGGGCATGTGATGGTCAGTTAGACCTCAAATAAACAGTGTATCTGCTATAGATGAAGTTTAAAGTCTATTAGAGCAAGTGGCATTGCTATAAATCTTGGTGAAAGAAGGTATTTTTACACTTGTTTATTCCTACAGTTACCTATTTCAAGAAATAGTTGAAGTGATACATTTAATTTAAGTCAAAGAAATTGGCCAGACTCTGGAATGAGTTACATACTGGTATTTGCACTCAGATGTGAATAAAGATAAAATAAATAACATGTTTTTTCTTTTAACTTTAGTTTTGCAATTGGACTGGTTCATTCTTAATACATACCTTCCTTAGCAGTTGTATGCTAATTTAAAATTTTTTCAATAAGCTTTTTTCAGGCATAAGCTTGATTCATAAAGACTGAAGCACGTCATTATATCTTGAATAGTCCCTGGAATGTCACATCTCTAGAGGCCTGAGGCAGCGCAATATTAATTCACCAAATATTTGTTGCTTTTATATACCAGGCACTCTTCTGTGTACTTGGAATGCAACAATGAACGAAGTGGACAAAGTCACCTTCAGTGTGCAGCTTAGATTTTGGAGTGGGGGCAGGTAATAAAATTAAACACAATAGAAAAGTAAATTCTGTAATGTATTAGAAGGTGGTATGTGCTATGAAAAAAACAAAAGAAAAAATAGAAGAGAGTAAGGAATAAGTTTCAGTATTAAATAAAGTGGTCAGATTAAGCTTTACTGAGAAGAGAAATTTGAAAGAAAATTTGGTAGATGTGAGAAAATTAGCCATTTCATGTATTTTGATAAACTTTCCATCTGGAAGGAGCAGCTAGAACAAGGGGACTAAAACTATAGCAGACCTGGCATGAAGGGGTCCAGGGTGGCTGGAGCAGAGTGAGCGAGGAAGGAGCGGGAGCTATCCAGATAAAGTCAGAGAGATCAAGAAGCCAGGTCCAGTAAGGGCCTTGGCTGTTTTACGGACTTTGACAACAGGGCTTCGAGCAGAGAAGTGACATGACACGGCATGATATTATAAGTGTCATTTAGTCTTCTGTGTTTAGAATAAATAAGAGAGTAAAAATTTAGAATAGTTAGGAGGCTATCATACTGATCCAGGCAAGAGATTATGGTGGCTTCAGCTAGTAGCTGTAGAGATGGTAAAGAATAGATGGATTCTAAACATATTTTTAACTCAGAATCAACAAGATTTACTGAAAAATGTATCATGAGATATGAGAGGAAAAAAAACCATCAAGGACAATTTAACGTTTTTGATCCAATTCAATCAGTTGGAAAAAATGAGTAGCCTTTTCTCATGTAAGGATGGCTATGAGTGGAGCAAGATTTTTGGCAGAAGATCAGAAGTTCAATTTTGGACTGGTTTTTAATTAGATACTCAAAAGAAGCTGTTGAGGGGACATTGGATATATGAGCCTGGAATTTGGGAGTAAGAAGTGAACTGAAAATATGAATTTTGAAGAAATTGGCATATAGAGTATGTTAAAGCTATGAGTTTGGACAAGACCACCAAGAGAGTGAGTACAGGGAGAAAAGACCTAGAGCACTGATTCCTAGAGCATTCCAAACTTGCAAGCTGTTATCCCATCCCTTGCTTCAGAGACCTTGTGTAGTGGAAAGAGAATGTTTTGCTAAGTGTATAGTATTTACCATTTGTATATTGTGTATAGAATAAAATTTCTTAGTGCAGCTACAAGATGGTAAATTCTTTCCACAGAAAGGACTGTCTTCTGTTTTGAGCTGATGTATTTTCTTCTTTTTTTCTTGTTGAAAATGTCTTCTTATGTAAAGGGATGCTACTAATAGGTAGAAGTTGTTTTATATATATCTTTATGTAGAAATATATCCCTGAGTAGAAATCTTCTTCATTTTGGAAATCCAAACGTCTATAACCTACTATTCTATACTGTTCATTCACTAGTCACTACTCAAGTGTAAATACACACACACTATGCCTGGGGTAAGTAACCCACAGTGCAGTAGGTGAGGAATATTTAAACAGGAGAATGGATATTAAAAGCAAACAAGCCTGAATATAAATATACACTCTTAGAGTTACCTTGAACAACTTATTCAGCTTCCTTGAACCTTAGAATTCTTGAATGTAAAATGAGGATAGTAACAAGCATTCTTCAGATTTGTCTTAGTGGATGATAAGTTGAGAGGCTGTTTTTTGTTTTTGTTGTTGTTTTACTATATTCATTATAGTTGATTCATTACTCTAAATCCAGTTTTTAACTGGTTCTGGGTCTATAGCTCTGATTTTGCAAGTATTATTTTTGTTAAATATACCTACATGATTCAAGGTCTTTTTGATAAAACGTGTTTTTAAAATACAGAATTTATTTTTTCCCAGCTCAACTGGGCATAAGCAGTGAAATATATCTCATTCAGCAGTTATTTTCAATGTCAGTGTAGATGACAAATGTAAATTTTTCCCAAAATTGACTTCAGACTTCCCCCAAAGATGCACATTGTTGTCACTTCAACTTTTCTGTATATTTTAAAATTATCATAATAAAATGATGGGGGAAAACAGTCCATAATCCTTGAAAATATTGGACAATTCTGAGGTATAGAGCTTTGGCTGATGCACAAAGAGGAGATTCATAGTCTCTCACATGACTTTGACTAGAGGAGAGTCTTTAGATAAGTAGTGGTGAGACAATTGCTTGGCTGCATTGAAGTTCCTCTCCGCAAAGGACAGGAAGAAAATAAGACAACCTAGGGACCTCCCCTCATCTGGATTCAGCGTGTCCTGTCATCCTCACAGCGGGACATCTTCTTAGCCAGCACTGCCTAGCACAACCAACTGATCTGAGGATGAGTCCTGCAGAGAAAGGCCCGTGGTGCAGGAACTGCTCAGCCAACACATCTCCAGAGAAGTTCACTTTGCTTCAAGACTCTCAGTTCTTTCTGAAAAAGAAGTGACTCTGCAGAGTTCTCTTTTAAAAAGATTTTCCTGAGACAGGAAAATATATAATCACACAATTACTGTTTCCATTAATTTAATCATCCATTCATTCATCCAATAAATATTTCTAAGCACTCACTATGTATCAGGAACCTTGTCATGGGCAAGGGAGACAGAAATCAAATAAGATGTGGACTTTGCTCTGTGGATGTGTAGTTTCTATTGAGGAACTTAAAAGAATTGAGGAACTGAGGGAGCACAAGTGAGACTCACCAACTCAAGTGGGCTCCTTTTCAGAAGACCTCATCTAAGCTGAGTCCCAACGGTTGAAAGGAAGTTGGCCAGGCTAAGGGTTAAGGAAGGTGAGAAGCTATTCTAGGCAGAAGTACAGGCATGAAGATAGAAAGATCAGGGGCCATCCGGGTGGTGCAAGCGGTTAAGTGCGCGCGCTCCGCTGCGGCAGCCCGGGGTTCGCCAGTTTGGATCCGGGGCACGCACCGATGCACTGCTTGTCAAGCCATGCTGTGGCAGTGTCCCATATAAAGTAGAAGAAGATGGGTATGGATATTAGCCGAGGGCCAGTCTTCCTCTGGAAAAAAAAAAAAGAGGAGGATTGACAGATGTTAGCTCAGGGCCGATCATCCTCACACACACACACACAAAATAGAAAGATCATGGCACATTCATTAACCATGGGGACTTGGCACATTTTATTAGCAGTCTTCCCAGTACCTCACACTACAGGCAATCTACAAAAATAGTGCTGCAGCTACGGTGCAGTAATTGTTCATATTTGTGCCCCAATCATCTGCTTTAGACACACTGCCTTCTTCGCAATCCCGGGTTTCCACCCCATTATTCATAAGCAAACCCTTTTTCTTTCTTGCCTCTTCAGAGAGATGGCTTGGGAAAATATTGGTTTTGTATTCAGCCTCTATCAAAAGCACTGTTACTTAGTTCACCTCATTTGCTATAGGTCTCCTTGATGCATTGTAACCCACAGAAAAATCTTACTCTGCTCAGGCTTTCAGGATAATACACATAAGCTAAAGCCTCAATACATTACACTTAGAATTTAGAAAAGAGATATTGTCATTATTCTTGAGGAGTCTTTGGTTGCTCCTGTACCTGAAAAATAACCAAAATATTTTAAATGCTATTCCTGCTTTTCTCAGCAGGGCATCACCCTATCATGTTTTGTGCCTAATTGTAAAAATATGTTGTGCATATACTTAACCAGAATTTGTAGGATTATGTTTCCAAGCTCCAACATCAGGTATTAATTTACTGCCACTTTCTGTAAATAAGTGTCAACTAGCAGCTCTCATTCTAGGGCAACAACTTGTAACACTATGGGTGGATCTCTCTAACTCTAAAGGATTAGGGTGGCCTCTATTAAATTGAGAGTGATAAAATTGTGGCTGTCATGATGGTTGAGAATCCCAGGGATCTCCAATAACAAAAGAAGTCTACTTTCATATACCAACTTTTTACTGTGGGCCTTTTACTGGTACACAGTGATGTCAAGGGGAACAATGCAAGCTGTGAGGTCAGGAAAACTGAGAGATGCCTCAAAACACACAGGGCTTTCAACAAGTACAAGGCATAGTCTTACTGATTGCTGAGAGCAGGAAAGAAGGCCAGAGATATAATCCTAATAAGTGTTAGGTCCTCACAGACTGCACTGCAGAAGGCTACCATAGGCTCTACTTCCTAAGAAACAGAAAGATGAGGGTAGGGCTGGAAAGCAAAGGGATTTCCTCAGGAAGTCAGAAGGCTGTTGGCTTTGATGTGAAGGCAATAGAGAGAGAGAGAAACTGAAACATCTTTGGAGATTCAGAAAACTGATAATTAGGTTGTAAAGCATAAATATTTCTGAAAATCTCACCAGTGTTCACAACCCAAGACTTGATAAAGGAAAAGTCCTAAAACCACATTTAAAATATTTGAACCAGAGATGAACTGAATCTATCTAATGGCACAATAAATCCAAGCCTGAGCTCAATCACAGATAAAAATGACTCAACCCCTTTCATTAGCAGCCTGACAGAGCAAAAGGCATGGTTTTTTTTGGGGGGGGAGGAGATTTCATTGATTTTATTTTCTACTCATTTGTTTAATGTCAAGATGAATTTGGTAAACATATATCTTTTGAGATACACAAGGAAGTAGGGAAAAGTGACCCATAATCAAAAGCAAAAATGGCCAAAATAGTCAGACAGGTAGATGGCTCAGATGTTAGAATTAGCAGAAAAAGAGTACAAAATAACTATGATAAGTATATTAAAACATCTGGTTGACTAATGAATGAACAAATGGATAATGTCAACAGAGAAGAATAAACAATAAAAGACAGCAATGGAAATATCAGAATTGAGAAATATAATACCAGAAATGAAGAGTTCACTTGATGACTAAACTTCACACTGAACACAGCAGAAGAAAAGATAAGGGGACTTTGAAGACAGAGGTATATAAATAATCTAACCTAAAGCATACGCACATAACAAAAAAAAAATCATCCAAATCAAATGATCTAACATATGAGTAATGAGGGCTCTGGAATGAGAGAGGAGACAGAATGATGCAAAAGAAATATTTAAGGAAACAATGGCTGAAAAGTTTCCATGATTCATGAAAAACATCAGTCCTCAGCTCCAAGAAACTATATAACACAATGAAAGATAAATACAAAGGCAGCTTCACAGGTGTATCATAGTTAACCTGCTGAAAAATAAAAAAAAAAAAAGAGAGGAATTTTAAAGCAGCCAGAGAAAAAAAGGCACATTATACTCTATCTTCATGAGTGTCATCATCCTCATCATAGTGATAAGGAGGAGGAGAAAGAGAGGGAGAAGGAGGAGGAGGAAAAGGCAGGAGAAGAAGGAGGAGAAGAAGAAGAAGAAGAAGAAAGGAAGGAAGCATTAAAACTGACTTTTTGTCAGAAATAATGGAGATCATAAGACAATGGAATGAGATATCTTCAGTGTCATGAAAGAAAAAATAATCCAATCCAGAAGTGTGTATCCAGCAAAAATGCTTCTCATAATTAAGAAAAAAATACAATTAGGTTTAAAAAGACAAAAACCAAAAGATTTTATCTCCAGGAAACCTTCATTCTAAGAAATGCTAAAGAGATAAAGAGTCCTTTTGGAGGGATGAGGAGTACCAAAGAAGGTAGATATGTGTGAAAATATAAAATAATTTTTGAAAATTTTGTTTTATTTGTTTAAAGAATCTATGCAGAAATAGAGGTACAATGATGTACACCTGAAATTTTTACAATGTTATAAACCAATGTTACTGCAATAAACAAAAAATTAAAAAAAAAAAAAAAAAGATATTGGCAGTTTTAAGTAGAAATAATAACAGTTTTTATGGGGTTATTATGTAGAAGTAAATATATATGACAGTATGGACTAGTACTATTGGCAATTTCTTACATTATGAAGTAATATAACATTATCTGAAGTTAGACTGTGATAAGCTAAAGATGAGTATTATAATCTCAAGAGCAACAATAAAATAACACTAAGAGATGTATTTAAAAAGTCAATACATGAGATAAAAAGAAAAAAAAAACTTGATTAATCCAAAAGAAGACAGGAAATGAGAAACTTAAAAACCAAAAAATATGGAAAAATAACAAATAGCAAGATACAATACTTTAAACTCAGTAATACCAATAATTACACTAAAGACCAAGAATTACGTTACAAAGACAAAGAATGTTGACTAGAAAAAAAGCAATATCAACTATATGCTATTTACAAGAAATGCTCTTTAAATATAAAGACACACACTGGATTAAATACAAGTATGAAAAAATATATACCGGAAAAATGATAAGCATAAGAAAACAGGTGAGGCTATATTTATACCAGGGGAAGTACTCTTCAGGGAAAGGAGTATTGCTGAAGATGGGAAGGGATATTTCATAAAAATAAAAAGATCATTTCCTCAGGAGGCATAACAATCCTAAACATATATACACCTGATAAGAAACTGTAAAAATACATGTTGGAAAAATTAACAGAATAAAGGAACAGATGAATTCACAATCCTAGTGGCAGATTATAAGACACCTCTTCATTAAGTAGACAAAATGAGTACATATGTATAAGACATGAACCACCGTATCAAACGACTTGACCTAAATGAAATTTATAGAACTCTACAACCCAATAACTGCAGAATACACATTCATTTCACGTACACATAGAACATTCACCAAGAGGAACAAGCTGGGCCATAAAAGAACTCTCAGTAAATTTCAAAGGTTTGAAATCAAGCAGAGTATGTTTTCTAATAACCCCATAATAATTAGAAATTACTAACAATATTCTCTAGAAAATATCCAAATATTTGAAAGTTAACAAACACACTTCTACATTTGTCGTGAATTAAGAAAAAAATCACAAGATAAATTAGATGATGTTTTGCACTGAATGAAGCTTAAAACAGAAGATATGAAAATGTTGGATGATAAAGTAGATGTCAGTCAGTTTGGGCTATTATAACAAAGCACTCTAGACTGGGCTGCTGATGAATGACAAATATTTGTTTCTCACGGTTCTGGAGGGTGAGAAGTCCAAGATCAAGGCTCTGTCTTCTCTCTGTGTCCTCAAACGGCAGATGGAGATAAGATCTCTCTGGGGTCTCTTTAATAAAGGCATTAATCCCATTCATGAGGGCTCCACACTCATGACCTAATCACCTCTCAAAGGCCCTGCCTTCTAATACCATCACATTGGGGATATTTAGGATTTCAACAGATGAATTTGTGGGGGACACAAACATTCAGTCAGTAACAGTAGGGTTTATAGACAGAATTATATTTTAAAAGGCTAATAAGAAGAGATCTTTTAAATAAAAAATTATAAGCTTATACCTTAAGAAGCTAGAGAAAAAAGGGCAAGTCCAAAATAAATAAAAGGAAAAAATAAACATAAATGTAGAAATCAACAAAATGGAGAACAGACACAAAATAGATAAAAAGATCAAAAAAGTAAAATAAAATGGAAAATATTAATAAAATTGTTATACTTCTTGTAAAACAAATCAAGTAATCAAAAGAGAAACCACAAATAGCAATATCAAGAATAAAAGAGAGGACATTATTATAGATTCTACAGACATTAAAAAGAAAAAAGATATTAAAGACAACTTTATGGCAACATATTGAACACCAAAAAGAAATGGAGAAGTTCCTTGTTAAAGAAATTGCTTTCCCCTGAAGATCAGAAATAGGGCAGGAATAGAGTCCAGAAATAAAAATCACATATGTACAGTCAATTGATTTTTGATGAAAGGGCCAATGTAGTTCAATGAGAAAAGGAAAATCTTTTCAAAAAATACTGCTAGAATAATTGGATATCCATACGGAATAAAATGAACTTTAACTTCTATTTCACTCAATAGACAAAATTTAATTTGATATAGATAATAGACTTAGATGAATCATAGCTAAAGTCATAATGTTTCTAGAAGAAAACATGGCAGAGTGTCTTCACAACTGTAGCTTAAATAAAGATTTCTTAAATGGGACAAAAAAAGCACTATCCTTAATAGAAGAAACAAATGTTAAATTAAAACTCATCAAAACTGAATAGGGCCGGCCCCATGGCTTAGTGGTTAAGTGTGCGCACTCCGCTGCCGGCGGCCCGGGTTCGGATCCCGGGTGCGCACCGACGCACCGCTCCTCTGGCCATGCTGAGGC